CAACCAGCTGTTCTCGTCTAAAGGCACCAAATGCCTGTCTACATATTCAGCATTAACAAGGACATTCTGCTATCAGTGTTCATCAAATGCCATAAATCATAATCATGACAAATACTGGAAAGAGATTTACCTGGTTTCGGTGGCTATGCACTGTTTTTGGACTACTTTTTTATTTAGCAGACATTGGATCAGACTTCTTGTTATCTGTGCAGTATTTCAAAAGGGGACATGTCACCTGGGCTGCACTGACTCTTGTGTTTGTTCTGGTCGGATCTTTATGCATACAGATATTCAGCTACGCATGGTTCAAAGATGACAAGGAAAATTATGAAGAAGATGACAAGGGTCTGTCCACTTGCCATCTTATCAGTATACATGTACTGCAGATAGGCATTTTTACAAGGTAACTTCACGCTAATTTATCATTTAAATCGATTAGAACTGTGTGGATCTAATATTTCACATATTAAAATTATTTGTAAAAATCTGTCATCATTTACTCACCCTTATGTCTTTCCAAACCTGTATGACTTTCTTTATTCTGTGGAACACAAAAGATATTTTTCATCCATACAATGAAAGTTTATGGGGTCCAAAACAATTTACTTTTATTGTATATAACAAAAAAAAACTGATGCATTTTTTCTATTTTTTTTTTTGTGAAATTCATACAGGTTTGGAACTACATAAGGATGAAAAAAAAATGAAGTCTGAATTGTCATTTTTGTGTGAACTGTGTCTTTTAAACAGGCATTCTCAGCTCTGGCTCTTGAGGTCCAGTTTCCTGCATAGTTTAGCTCCAGTCTTGATCAAACTTACCTGCCAGTAATTTTATGGCAATCCTGAAGACCATCAGCTTGTTCAGGTGTATTTGATTAGGGTTGAAGCAAAACTCTGCAGGAAAGTGGACCTCGAGGGCCAGAGTTATGAACCCCTGCTTTAAAATAAGGAGGAAAGCAAATGAAAGTGTAACATCTACACACTTGGTTGGTCTTCTTTACTCGTTAAACTTGTATTATTATTATTTTTAATCACACTTGATGCAGACATTTACAACTTAAGTTCATCTTTTGACCTATCTGTTATTCTAAGGTATGTCCATCTCCTGAAGAGGAGTTTTAAAGCCCTGCGTTCGGAAGACACTCAAGAGGAGGAGCAGTTCCATCTTTTCGGCCTTGCTACAGATCTTAGCATGCTCCGCATGTTTGAGACGTTCCTGGAGAGCGTTCCTCAACTCGTTCTGCAGGTCTATATCATACTGGAGCATAACCATCGCTCTAATCTGCAATGTGAGTCCTGCAGATTAGATACAGTCATTACATGCACATCTGCACGTAAATCTAGTCATGGTTTATCATAAGAAAAAGAAATGTGATAAATACACTACCATTAAAAAGTTTCGGGTTAGTAGGATTTTTTTTCTATTTTTAAAGAAATTAATACTTGTATTCAGCATTAAAATGTTAAAATGAGCAAGACTTTTATAACAAAACATGTTATTTCAAATAAATGCTGTTCTTTTAAACTTTCTATTCATCAGAG